ACGGACCTGACGGTCTAGTACAGCTACCGGTCGCTCCTCGTACGAAAGATCTGGCTTAACCTGAATATCCGAATGAGGAATGACATGATCGAGGTCGCACACGTATTTACGCAACATAGATGCGTGGAAAACATTATGAATGCCTGATAACTCGGGAGGTAGGGCTAATCGATACGCGACCTTTCCTACTCGCTCGAGAACCTCGAACGGGCCGATGAATCGAGGGTGCAGCTTCCCTCTCTTTCCGAATCGAATGACTCCGCGAATCAGACGAACTCTGAGAAAAGCTGGCTCGCCAACCTCGAACTGAATGTCTCGTCGATGATGATTGGCGGAAGATTTCTGTCGACTCTGAGCTGTCTTGAGTCTCTGTCGGATCAACTCGACCTGATCTGTCGTTTCCTCGATTAGCTTAGGACCGAGTACTCGTCGCTCTCCGACATCGTCCCAATAAAGAGGGGAACGACACTTGCGACCGTAAAGTGCCTCGTAAGGAGCTATCTGAATAGAAGAATGATAGCTATTGTTATACGCAAACTTAGCATACGGCAACAACGACTCCCACTTAGCACCCCTGTCAACAACCAAAGCGCGAAGCATATCCTCAAGCGTCTGAATGGTCCGCTCGGACTGACCATCTGTCTCCGGATGGTAGGCTGAACTGAACTCTAGCTTCGTGCCATCGCCTCATGTAAACTGTGCCAGAATCGACTGACGAATCTGGGATCTCTGTCAGATACGATCGTAACGGGCACTCCGTGGAGTCGAATGATCCCACGGGTATATATCTCAGCCAATTTGTCCAGAGACATCTTCATCGAAACGGGTAAGAAATGCGCGACCTTAGTCAACTTGTCGACCATGCCCAGATAGCGTCATGATGTTCAGACGACCTCGGTAATCCCATAACGAAATCCATCGTGACTTCCTTCCACTTCCACCTCGGAATCGGCAGTGGTTGCAGGAGGCCGATCGGGCTCTGATGTTCGGCTTTGACTTACTGACAAGTAAGACACCTACTAACAAACTCGGCGACGTCCTTCTTCATGCCTCGCCACCAGAACGACCCTTTCAGGTCATGATACATCTTCGTGCTCCCGGGAAGGGCCAGATAGGATGCGGTATGGGCCTCTGATAAAATCTCCTTCCGTAACGCCTCGACTTTCGGGACCACGATCCTGCCTCTGAACTCTAAGGCACCATCGGCACCTAGCTGAAAACCCTCGACGCCTCCGGCGCGAACCTTGGCCTCCATGACATGAACGAACTCATCAGAAGCCTGCTCTCGCCGGATTCTCTCTCTCAGCGTCGACTGAAGCTGCATGGCACTGACACTGGCACCAATACTCTCTGAAATGGATATGGGAAGTGCATCGATCGCTTGAAGCTGCATCCGGGCAAACTCCTGAATTAACGGACTCTGCTGAGTAATGACGTACGTCAAGTCACCCCTCACCTTTCGGCTTAGGGCATCAGCAACGACGTTCGCCTTTCCCGGATGATACTGAATAGAACAATCATAATCCTTAACAAGCTCGAGCCAACAGCGCTGTCTCATATTAAGCTCCTTCTGCGTGAAGATGTACTGCAGGCTCTTATGATCTGTGAAAATCTCGCAACGTCCGCCGTAAAGATAATGTCGCCAAATTTTGAGAGCATGAACAACGGCGGCTAACTCCAAGTCGTGCGTCAGATAGTTCTGCTCATGCGGCTTAAGCTAACGTGAAGCATACGCGACGACCTGTCCATCCTGCATAAGGACGCATCCCAAGCCCTGTCTCGAAGCATCGCTGAAAATAGTGAAACTCCGAGAAGGATCGGGAATAGTCAACACCGGTGCTGAAGTTAACCTCCTCTTGAGCTCCTGAAAGCTTGCCTCACATCGATCAGTCCACTCAAACTTCACAGACTTCCTCGTCAACTGGGAAAGAGGGAGGGCAATCTTGGAAAAGCCCTCGATAAACCTGCGATAGTAGCCCGCTAAACCGAGAAAACTGCGAACCTCGGACGGACTCCTCGGTGTCGACCAGTTCTGAACGGCTGAGACCTTGGAAGGATCCACCTCGATACCTGCCTGAGTAATTACATGACCTAGAAAGGATACTCGCTGGAGCCAGAACTCGCAATTGGAGAATTTTGCAAACAACTTTTCTCGTCTGAGGGTTTCGAGAACCACCCTCAGATGCTCCTCGTGCTCCTTCTAGCTCTTCGAGTAGATAAGAATATCGTCAATAAACAGAATAACAAACTGATCGAGGTAGGGATGGAAGATACGGTTCCTGAGGTCCATGAAAACTGATGGCGCATTGCTGAGACCGAATGGCATGACGACGAACTCGTAATGGCCGTAACGAGTCCTGAAAGCGGTCTTACCTATATCTGAATCCTTAATCTTCAGCTGATGGTAGCCTGATCGTAAATCAATCTTTGAAAACACACAGGCTCCCCTCAACTGATCAAATAAGTCGTCGATCCTGGGAAGCGGATACTTATTCTTGATCGTCAACCGGTTAAGATCCCGGTAGTCGATACACATGTGAATGGATCCGTCCTTCTTCTTAACAAAGAGAACGGGTGCTCCCCACGGTGACACGCTGGGTCGGATGAAATCGAGTCGTAACAACTCCTGAATCTGCACCTTAAGCTCTTGCAACTCCTTAGGCGCCATACGGTACGGGGCTTTGGATACTGGACCGGCCCCTGGAATAAGATCGATAGAGAACTCCACCTGCCGGTTAGGCGGTCCTCTTGGAAGCTCGTCTGGGAACACGTCCACAAATTCACGAACGACTGGAACATCATGAGGTGAGCGTGCTCTCTGAGAATCGTCGACAAGGCTCACCAGATAACCCTGGCAGTTGCCTCGTCGCAGTAGCTTAGTGGCTTTCGCCATCGAAACAACATGAGGCAGTGAACGATTCCTAGAGCCAAAGAAAGTGATCGACTCGTCTCCCGGAAGATAGAGAGTGATCTCCCGGTCATGACACCTGATGTCCGCATGATAGAATGATAGCCAATCCATTCCGAGAATAAGGTCGAAGTCCCTCATCTCGAGAACAAACGCGTCGGTAGACAATAAACGACCACCGATAGAAAGATTAAGATCTGAAGCTTTAGCTGAGGTCACTATCTTTCGTCCCGAGGCTAGACTCACCTCGAGAGGATCGACAACGGTAACGGCATAAATTCCGATGGCATCGAGACATCGTCGTGATATGAATGAATGCGTTGCTCCAGTATCGAATAAAGCGAAAACAGGAATATCATTAAGCACAACCATCCCTGACATAGTACCTGGCTGCTGTGCTGCCTCGGCCTGATCAACCGCGTAAACCCTGGCCTGCTGTCTGCCCCTCTGCTGCTGCTACTGAGGCGGCCTCTGTGCCTGCTGACGTGGCTGCTGCTGCTGTGGCGGCTGTTGAGGCTGCTGGGGCTGCTGGGGCTGCTGCTGAAGTCTCTTCGGACAGCGACTCACAAAATGTCCAGGCTCGTGGCAGTAGTAGCAAATGTCCTGACCCATGTGGCACTCTCCCCGATGAAGT